GATCTTCCATATTACCGTAACTGGCCACAGTTGCCTGCAGCGCAGCAGAAAACAAAGTAACATTTTCATTGCCTCCTGCAAACTGATTCAACTGGAGCTCAGGGAGCAGGACAATTTGTGATGCTTCTGCTCGACTCACTGAAATTGTGGATGCCCCTTCACTATACATTAGAACTAGCCAGTCTATCACTGGCTCTCCCGGCTTGGACTTATGCTGCTCCTGTATATCTCAAATCTCTGCAAGGGTAAAGGAATGCAGCTCTGTTTGGGGATTCCCCCCTTGTGGCCCTGAATGAGTTACCACCATGGGGAAGACCTGGCTAGATTCTTCCCTCTGGGCAGGGATATACGGGGATGGTTCAGCACTAAGCTCATCATCAATCTCCTCCTCTCCATCTGTTTCCTCCCCTTGATCTTCCCAGAGCTCCGCTTCTGGTTTCTCTCCATACAGACACTGTCGCACTTTGTCAAAGGAGGGCTACACAGCCTGGTCTAACTGTGCCCTCTTCTGGAGGGAAGCAGCCACGCGCACGATCATAATTTTTCCTTCCCTTGGTTCTAATGTCTCCAAGCTGCTCTGAGCAGCTCGCGCCGCCTCACATGCCACACTGTTGGAATCTCTCACGTCTTCTAACACCTTACTCAGCCGGGTGACTTTTTCCCGGAGCTGGGCATTCTCTTTGGCCCCCTAACCGCAGGCGTGTGGCCAGCAGCCACAACAGGCACCCCTTCGGGTACAGTTCCCGGGTCACTTCAGGCAGGCCTCAACCTATCCTTATCCCACCTGGGACTCTCCATCCCTGTCACTTCCTTAAGCAAAGCCACCAACGGGGCCCACGCAACTCCCTCCATTCCAACATTTCTCTCCAGACCAGAGTCTCTCAATCCTGTTCGTGATGCCAATTTATGTCCCAGCTGCCTGCGGAGGGTTTGGGATTGAGAGTATGGTCAGGGGTAGAAAGGTAAGAAAGGTTTATTGACTTAATAAAAACACAACTACGCATAATATACTAAGACAGATAATGACAGACAATAATAATTTGCATTGGCAACTTATTGGTAGTCCCCTCTGATGCCTGATGTACGACAAGTTTCTCTTTCACAAAGCTCAGCGAAACCAGGCGTTCCCCATCAGCGCTGTGCAAGAGGCACCGGGAAGGACCCTGGTATTCAGTCCTTGGGCTCCTTGAGATCCAAGGGCCCACTGATCCAGGTCAACAGCTAATTAGTAGTTCCTTTCACAGAGCTGTATCTTCCTTCTAAATGATTTCTGGTTGTGCTAGCCAATTTATAACTTCTGAGCTATGCTGATATCTTACAGCCATTCAGATTCTTTTTACTTTAACTGTCCTTAGACTGACCAATAGCAGTACAAGCCTTGCATTCTTCTGATAAGGTTAATTTTAACTATGCCACAGGGCCTACAATTACTATATCTATAAGACTTTGTTAAATTTACTAGGCCTTATACTACATACAAGGCCTTACTACATCTTAGACTTTAATTAGGCTCTTAACAACAACATATAGCTTAATATCTGAACAAACATCAGAAAAACACTTGGTCTAATCTTCATAGAGCCTTCAGCAAGCACCTTTATTTCACAGACATAATTTTCAGCTGTCACACGGCCACTCACCAGCATCCCCCCTCCCTCTACTTGCCAGACCCTGGCCCCACACAGGCTTATATGGCCCAGTCTCCGCTCACCCCCAGGAATGGCTTTGACAGTGGGAGTCCCACAGGGCTCCCTCTTTCCCACATCCTGTCCTCCTACTTTCCCATGTATTGTATTCTAATCACACCACTCCATACTCTGCTCTGTGCTGCCCTTTCATAGCATCTGATGAAGTGAACTCAGGTTCATGGAAGTTTCTGCTCGCTATAGATATCTTATTTTGTTAGTCTATAAAGGTGACATCTACCTGCCTTCTGGCTGACTTCAGGCTTCCACAGATAACTACCTCTCTCTCCTGGTCATACCCCAGCAACTCATTGAAGCTGGGCAAAAAATGTGAAGGGTCCAACTCCATGTCCCCACTTCAAGGCTCACACTCAAGAGGTCTATGGACTCTTGGGCCAGATGCCCAGAGCAAGGCTCTGCCCTGAGCCCTGGGGAGCAAAGACAGAGTCACTACAGAGTTTCCCCACCTAGCAGGGAGCAGAGCCCCTATAGTTTGGAGGCTGAGGGAAGACAGACCACTGCCCCTAGGTGAGCAGCACAACAGGAAGGACTTTCTTGACAGACTGCCCCTGTCCTGGGGACACAAATGGTAACTTTATTACAAAGCAGGTGCTAGCTCAGCAGTCCCTCATCCTGACTCCTCTGCATGTCTCCAGGACTCAGAGAGTTCAGGCAATATCACCTGGGAAAGGCCATTCTGTTCCATACCTCTCCCTGGGCAGGGATCCCCCTCACATCCCCCCGGATATGGAGGGGCTGCTCCTGCATCCCCAGAAAACAAAAGCCCTGACAGCCTCTAGGGATCAATGGGGAGTGGGGGAATATGTGGAGGGGTGGGTTGGCAAGTATATGTAGAATTGGACTGGCAGCTGGGTTGGGGATGGAGGGGGTGGTTATAAGAGCATTTGGCAAGGGGATTCATATTCTGCTGTGGTTAGAGGGGGCTGAGACTCCTGTGGGTCTGCCTGTACTTAGCTGTTCATCCCTGCCCCTTAGGATCAGCTGCTAATTGACTCTCCTTTCCCTCTTGTCACCCCCAGATTATGCCCTGGACAATATCATATGCTTCTGCCTGGGCACTGGGGTTCTGCTTCTCTTGGCACTGATTGTGGCTGAAGCTGTGTACAGCTGGAGGAAGAATGGGGGATAGACAGAGGTGATGGGGGCAAAAACACAGGGTGGAGTCAGGGTAAAGACTGAGTGTGGCTGTGAGGGGACAGGGTGAGGCAGAGTGGGGGAGAGGCAGGCAGTATGAGGGACTATGGGATGGGCTGGTGAGGGGAGGGAAAATGATGGGGCACAGGGCAGGGTACAAAATGCCAGCTGTGACAAGGGGGTCCTGGTTCCTGGCTAAAGGGTCTTGATGGCTAGAAAATGGCATTTAGAGGGTTGCTTTTGGGAAGTGGCCTATAGGTAAAGTAGATATGTATTAAAATAATGGTCAAGAGCAACAGTAAGAGTTAACTGACATCTAAAAGCCTGTTTCTGAAAGTTTCCTCAAGGCCTGCTATGTCTGAAGATAGCAGAAACACAGGCTGGAAATTGAAAACATGTACCACATTGTTTCGTAACATGAAATAAGATGGCACCAGGTCACAATGCCCAAGTGCAGAGCCCTTGGGATTTCCAGTTTTGGTGGAGGAATCAAATTAGGAGGCCTGGAAAAAGCCCAAATTAGGATGTGTGCATGTGATGGGTTTGTGAAACAAAGAAATATGCTGACAGGACAGAACATGGACAGTATGATAGCCACTGAGAGATCAATCAGCAATGACCAGAAACGAAAAGTCATCAGGAGGGGAAAAGAATACAAAAGGAGGGATTTCAGAGCAGCAAAGGGTCCCTGGGAGGGGAGCCCGAGGCCACCATGGACAGAGGGCACACCACCAGCCCATCTCACCCACCCCACGGGGGGAGGGGGTGAGCCTGGGCCTCCAACCTCCAGGCTGCTGACATCTGACATTCAAGAGAGAACCTCAGAATGAAGTTTGTGTACTGTCTAGACGTACCTTGACTCTGATGACAGATCTAGGACTGGTAGTTATAGACTTGTTTGTATTATTCTTATCTGGTATCACTGTGTATCAATAAAATTCACCAATTATAGAATGGAGAGGTTGTGGTTGATCGGAGGGTTTTGGGTCTGCCCAGAACAAGGTATCTGAGTCATACATCCAGTATCAACAGGTATTTCCCCTCTGCTTAGGATAAGCGCAATCACTATATTTGGGGTCAGGAAGGAATTTTCCCCATAGTCAGATTGGTGCAATATGGGGGTTGTTGACTTCCTCTGTAGCAGGAGTCATGGCCTCTACCTGGGATCTCTTAAGCGTATATTAACAACCTTTTATAGAAGCAGGATGTTGGCTGTCATGGTTTCCCTGCTTTCCCTGTGGGAGTATGGAATGTTATATGTTGTGTTAGGGTTGAGGGTAGTTTTATGAAGAGTTCGGATTCTATATTTGTATAGGATGGCTTGGATAGGGCTGATCTTGCGCCTCAGGCAGGGGCTTAGATTAGATGACCTGTGGGGTCCCTTCCAGCCCTGCTTCTCTGTGAATCTGTGACTCCTGGTCCTTCCATCTCTAAACCTCAGTCCCCCTCAGACCCAGCTTCCCTCCAAGAGCACAGAGATGGCATTCTCAGTCATGCAATTTGCATAGTCAGACAAAACCATAGATAATGAGTCAGATCAAGGGAGAATTCATCTTTACCTGAATCACTGACTTCCCTGCTGGAAATCGCCAACTTCTAAACTTATCTTGTCACCCAGACTGGAATCCACAATGCCCCCAGTTGGGTGTCTCTCACACGGCCCCAGCTAGTGTCACTATGTGAAAATGACCTGTCCCACCCAGGCCCTTTAGCCATTACATTCCAAGCAGGAGCTGAGCCCAGCTGGGATCAGAAAAGAACCAACCTTCATGGCTAGAGACAGCATTGCTCATTGTGGTGTATTATTGGAGACTGAGGCCTCCTCTAAGCATCTGGTGCACCTGACAGGCAGTTATTCTAAGCGAAGTGGGGCCCTGGGGCAAGTTTGCAGCTCCTACGGCTCCTTGTAGGAAGTGCTGAAATTTGCCCAGGACAGGTGGTCTCTGTATTGGCAGCCTAAGTGTGTGGCTGGTGGCAACTTATCACTGCTGCCCATATTGATGAAGGGGAGGGGCCATGCCTAGCTGTGTAAGTGGATGTGGTTGGCTGGAGTTTGCAGAGCTCTGGATCTGCTCTGACCACAGCAGAGTTTAGAGAATAAGATGTGATGTGGGAGAAATGGGCTGAGAGCACTGTGGCTTCCTCTGGCCACTGCCCCAGCTCACTTCCTTCTCTGGGGCATCACCCTCAGTGAAACTGGGGACCGGGGCATTGGTAGTAGCACGGAGGGACTGCTCAGTGCATCCATCATGGCACCTGCTCTCACAGTCCTCTTCCTGGGTGAGTTTATGTGCCTGTGGGGCGGATGGTGATCTGAAAACAGGGCCTGTGCCAGTGTAGGAATTTGAGATGAGGGCGTGTATCCATGGTCTGAGATCAGGATCTGTGTTTATGGGTTGGGGGCAGGGACCAGGGCATGTGCCTAAGGGAGGGGCAGGAAGGAAGGGCCTGAGTATCTGAGACCATTTTCATATGCCAAGCGGGGTGTGAATCCCTGAGACCAGGATTAGAGGGAAGATGGGAACTGGAAGACAGCAGTTCCTGTGGGTGTGAGTCCTGGGAGCCCCTTCCCTCTCAGTTAAGCCAGTTTGGGGATCCCGAAGGGGAAACAACATACAGGGGACAAGTGCTTCATTTGCTGGGATCTAGTCACTGATGAGTGGTTTGCTTCCCAGGTTGCTGGCTGGCTCCTCAGAGTAGGGTGTGGGGAGGTGAGTAACACTCATTCCTCATCCGGCATCACACAAGAATTTCTCCCCAGAGCTCAGGTCATGTTTCCTGCCTGCCCCCTGTACCCCCGGAGGGAATGGAGTAATTAGAGCAGGGCCTGGTCCACAGCATGAAAAGCAGCAGAGATTCCTGCTCTCACTTATCTGTCTTTTGCCAAGCAAGCATGAGAGTTGGGACCTGAATAACCCAGTCTGTGCCAGTGCTGAGAAGGCCCTTTCCTAGGCTCTGGGCACCTCTGATGTAGCCCAAGAATGCTCTGGGTTTATGCTGGTCTTGTGTTATAACTGGCATGGTCATGGCTGGGCTGGGGCTACCAGATGCTCTTACACTACAAATCCTAGGTAACAACACCCTGCAGTGCAGTGGTTGGAGGTCACCCTCCATGGAATCAACTCCATTTGTCCCAAACCCAGAGCAGTAGGGTCATCTCAGGTTGAGCTTCTCTGCTGGCTTGGCTGTGCCTGCAGAGCCAAGCAACACGGCAACCTGTGCAGCAGCCAGGACCTGAGCTGAACCAAAACAGCCGCTGGTCAGGCACAGCTCAGGGAGGCATGGGATGGAGTCCAAGGGAGGCAGAGATAGAGAGAGGGCTGGAGATGGGGATATGAGTTAATGTCTGCCCTATGTAATTGTTGTCTCTCTTTCAAAGCTCATCGAGAATACCCCAAGCCCCTCATCTCTGTGATCCCCAGCCAGGTGGTGGCACTTGGGGGGAATATCACCATTCACTGTGAGGGTTTGTACCCAGGCATGAAGTTCTATCTGTACAAACCTAGATACACAGACCAGCTGCAGCAGGAGGTGCCTGGGCGGAACGTGTCTGAGTTTCTCATCACCAATGTGAGTGGGGAAGATGGAGGGAGCTACAGCTGCAGCTATCACCCCATAACAGATGAGAACCGCTGGTCAGATCTCAGTGACCCTGTGAAGCTGGTGGTTGGAGGTGAGGGACCTCTCTCAATATCCCCAATCTCTGCCTCACCCTTACCCCCAGCCAGACCCTCTGCAAGTCTCCATGCTGAAGTCTGCTTCTCCATGTGGCTCCACCCTAAGTCCTAAGGCCCTGGCAAGATGTTCCTTGTCTGGGGCTCTGCCTGGTCCATAATTACCCCCCATATCCCAGGGGAAGGAGTCTTCCCAGGTGGGAGTTACAGGACAGAAAGACCTTTTCCAGGGCTACAAATTGGTTACAGAATGAGGAGATGATGTGTGTGGTATTATATCATAGCACATGTATGTACTATAGAGCAGAGCTGCACAACCCTGCCCACAAGCCCACATGGAAATTTGAACACAACCCAGGTATCCTGACTCCTGTCCTGGTGCTCGAACCAACCCACCCCGTCCTGCCCAGAGCTGTGAGTGGAGAACAGGAGTCCTGGAATTAGATCTCCTTATTGTACTCACTGGGCACCAGAGACTTATAAGTGCACATAGAGAGTTGTGATGAGATGTCATGGGCCAGGTCAGTATTCTCTCCTCAGCCCGCAACAACTCACCAAAATTCCCTGTGGGACTTTGGCAAGGGCAAGGGCAGCAGCTGAAGCTGAGGGGAGAGAACAGCCCCAGCCTGCACGCAGCTTCCAGCAGGGCTGGTGCCAGTGCAGCTGCAGCCAGTTGGTGCTGCTCTGCTCCCCTTGCCTCCAGTGGTGGCTTCTCCCCAGCTCCTGCCCCTGCTGCACCACTCCGGGTGGGCAGGCTGAGAGAAGCTTCAGCTCTGTGGCTCCTACTGGAGGGGAGAAGAGCAGCACCCACCGGCTGCAGCCCCACCAGGAACAGCCCCGCTGGAAGCTTCAGGTGGACTGGGTCTGGTGGAAGCAGGTGGGGCTCAGCCCCATGCTGAGCACTAGGGCTGTGTGAAATTTCGCCTCCAGTTTTGTTTCAACACTGTTTTGACCCATTTTGAGGTCGAAACAGCAAAATCAAAATGGAACAGATACAGTCGAAACAACCTCAAAACAAAATGAGGCAAGTCTAAACGTTTCGCCATTTTGACACTGCTTCAACGGTTTGCCCATAGGCTATAATGGGGAAGGACAAAACAGCCTATAACTTTGTCATTTCTGACCTGATTTGGATTAATCTTGTAGAAATGGTAGCCCTTTATGAGGGCATGAAACCTGCCAAGTTTCAAGGAGATGGGTGCAGGGGGTTTGGGGAAACTGCACCCCAATGTTTTGAAAGCAAAACTTGTGTCACATGTATGTGTTAAGCCACAGTGGGGTCAAACCTGCAGGCATGCTAGCCCCTTCTCAGGCCACAAAGTCTGCCAGGTTTCAACATGATAGGTGCAGAGGGTTCGGGGAAACTGCACCCCAAAATCTTGAAAGCAAAACTCATGTCGTGTATGTGTTAAACCACAGTGGGGTCAAAACTGCAGGTATGCTAGCCCCTGCTGAGGCCACAAAGCCTGCCAGCTGTCAAGGAAATAGGTGCAAAGGCTTCTGGGTTTTGGGGCCCTGCACCTCTAGCTGCTGACAGGCAAAACGCATGTCGTGGGTGCTTGTGCAACTGTGTCTGTCTAAGGGCATGGGGGTGGGGGGGAACTACTGCAGGCCTGGCTGCTAGGCCCTGCTGTGGCCAGAAAGCCTGTAAGCACCCGTGTCACGAGTTGTGCCTGTCAGCAGCTAGGGTGCAGAGCCCCAGAACCCCCCTGCACCTATCTCCTTAACAGCTGACAGGCTTTGTGGCCTCAGCAGAGGCTACTAGGCCTGCAGCTTTCACCCTGCTGCACCATAACACACGCAGTGTCATCCATGTCGTGTGTTTTTCTTGTCTGCAGTTTGAGGTACAGTTTCCCCCAAACCCCTGCACCTGTCTCCTTGAAACTTGGCAGGCTTTGTGGCCTCAGCAGGGGCTAGCATGCCTGCAGTTTTGACCCCATTGTGGCTTAACACATCACGTGACATGAGTTTTGCTTTCAAGAAAAACAGTTTCCCCCAACCCCCTGCACCTATTACCTTGAAACTTGGCAGGCTGCATGCCCTCAGAAGGGGCTACCATTCCTGCAAGTTTCATCCAAATCAAGCCAGAAATGATAAAGTTATAGACTGTTTTGTCTTTCCCCATTATATCCTATGGGCAAAATATCGGAAGTTTCTCCGTTTCAACCCTGTTTTGATGGAACAAAACGGAACAGCTGTTTTGAATCAAAACAAAATTCAAAATGAAATGCTGTTCCATCGAAACACTGGTCGAAATGGAATGCTGCCGTTTCACACAGCCCTACTGAGTACCACGGGGCAGCCGCAGGCCGGATCTAGCTAGTTGGCAGCCTGGATTCGGCCTGTGGCCGTATTTTGCCCACCCTGCTGTAGCCCCTCAGGGAAGCACCCAGGGGGTTGTGCCCAGGGGCTGCCAGGACTGGGAAGGGGCTGGTCAGACAAGTGGGGATTGAGCATTGGGTCGGTGTCTCACAGCTGATTTCCTTCTCACCGCAGAGCCCAGCCACCCAAAACCCAGCATCTCCCTGAGCCCCAGCAGCGAGGTGAGCCCAGGGATACCTGTGACCATCCAGTGTCGGGGTCCGCAACAAGGGATGAGGTTTGCTCTGATCAGAGTGGGAAGCAGTTTCCCACCCCAGGATGCCAGCGGGTTTCAGGCTGAGTTTGTGATCCCCAGTGTGAGCACTGAGCACAGCGGGAGCTACAGCTGCTGCTACCACAGCAAATCTGACCCGTTCACTGTGTCTGAGTCCAGCGACCCTGTGGAGCTGGTGGTGAGAGGTGAGGGGCACAATTCAGCATACTGCTCCCAGCCTCACTCACAGCCAGACCCCTGGAGGGTGCTGGTGATGGGTGGGATGTTTCAAGCCAGGCCCTATTCTGGAGCCCAGGATGGGAGACACCCAGTCAGGGAGCAGGGACTGAGACACTGGGAGGGTTAGCATGTACCAGGGAGCAGCAGGTGCTGGAGGTTGAGGACAGCTGTTTGTTCAGCCTTTGGTCTGCCCCTTTGTTCAAGTGCATTCAGGAGCCGTGATCACACCCCATTTGCCCCAGTCTGTGTCCAGGGGGTGGTGAATGAGGCTGTAGGAGGAAGAAGAATGGATCTGTGATGTCAGGTGCTGGGTAGGATCCAGGAGATCATGCTGCAGTTCCTGGGTCCATTGCAGATGGGGGCTGCCTGCTGCGGGCTTAGGCTCCCCACCCTGGGTGAGGGGGTGCCAGGGGCTGTGTGCTCCTCTATGCTGTAGCAGCTGCCACCTACCATGGGTGGCAGCTGGGGCTTGGGCACTTCTGCAGGGGGCAGGAATCTCCAGTCCCAGGTCCCTGGCTCTGTAGCTCTGGCAGGGCTGAGGGAACAGGGGGCTGAGGGGGAAGTAAGGGGCACCAGCAGGGCCAAGGGGCTATGGAATAGATGGGGAAGCAGGGAGACAGGAAGGAAATTCCCAGAATGGCTGGTCTCCAGGGGATCTATTCCCCAGCCCAAACAGACCCTTGCACAGGGACTCCCTTCAGTGTATGGAACCAGCCAGCTGGGGCTCAACTTCTACCCTACAATGTCCAGGATCATATCTTCGTGTCTGTGCCCCATCCCTGGTCATTACCTTTGTCCATCCCACCCTTTGGGGCAACCACCACAGACAGATCCATGGGTAGAATGAGCCTGTTATGATGGCTGATTGGATGTGGAGTGTCTTTCCTCTCCCCGTACCTGTCCTTGTGCTCCCGGGGCCAGCTGGAGTTGGCTCTGAGTCAGTTCAGTTCACCCTACGGGAAAAAGAAGTATCTGTCAGGCTCTAGGCAGGGGAAGTGGCTTAATGGGAAATGGGGGATGCCAGGCTGGTGTCTGCAGTTGGGCGCAGTTACACAGGAGTCCCCCATCTGCCCTGTGTTGGCAGTAGCTGCTCTACCACGGCCTTGTTCTCTGCTGTGGGGAAAGAATCAGGCCAAGTTTCATCTGGTTGTCCCTCAGAGGCTACAGGGAAGCAGAAATGGGTGCCAGAGTCAGAAAGAAGGAGCTAAAATGATTATTTAGACACAGGGGTGGGAAAAATAGGGCCCACAAGCTGGATTCAGCCCACCAACTGATTACGTATGGCCCATGGTTGCTCCTGCCATGCTCCAAATGGGGCTGAGCCCTGCTTGCTCATGCCCACTCCCACACTTCAGCTCCCAATACAGCATTGACTCCTCCTCCTTCTGCCCCTGTTGCACTACTCCAGCTACCTTCCACCTACTTGGCCAAGGAGGAGGAGCCACTGGAGGTGGTACCAGGAGCAACCCTGCTGGGAAACTATGTGCACTGGCTGGGTCCAGCTGGTTGGGACAGGACATGGCACAGGCTGGTAGGAGTAGGCAGGGCTTGGCCCCCAAGGAGCACTGTACAGTTAGCTGCCAGGGGGTGGGAGGGTGTGGATTGTACTTGCACCACATGGGTAGCTCTGCTGCACATGCCTCCTGCCCCACCCTCCCCACATCCTGGCCAGGTCTCAGGACCTAGGATGCAGGCAGCACTCCATCCCCCCCACCACAAAAAGATGTGCACAAACCCCCACCCCCCTCCACACACAATATACAGAAGTAAGACTTTATTTTGAGCTATGATGCAATCGCCTCTATATACACTACTCAACAAAATATAAAGCAGCAAAAATTATGTTGAAATTGAAATAAGATATGTTACAGTAGATGTTTAATTTTTAGAATATGGTTTGTTTTTATCTCTCCTTTGTTAAAATGATATCTTCTGAAAGATTTTACATGTGTGGCCTTTGACAGCTCACCAAAACTCATGAAGTGGTCCTTGATACGGTATCTCATCCCATTCTCAAAAATAAATTAAGAGGCTGTGACATAGATGTTTATACAGTCTGGTGGGTGGCAAATTGGGTTAGTGGTCGCACCCAGGGAATGGTAGTAGACAGGTCGGTATCATTCTGGAAGGATGTGGGGGCAGTGGGGTCCCTCAGGGTTCGCTTCTTGGACCTGTACTCTTCAATATCTTCATCAGTGACTTGGATGTGGGTGAGAAGTGTACTCTGTCCAAATTTGTGGACAACATTAAATTGCGGGGTAAAGTGCACACTCCAGAGGGTAGGGAACGATTGCAGGCAGACCTGGACAGGTTAGAAAAGTGGGCAGTACACAACAGGATGCAGTTCAACAAGGAGAAGTGCAGAGTGCTGCACCTAGGGCGCAAGAATATCCAGCACACCTACTGGCTGGGAAGTGACCCTCTCAGCAGCACAGAAGTGGAAAGGGATCTAGGAGTCATAGTGGACTCCAAGATGAACATGAATTGTCAGTGTGACAAAATCATCAGCAAAGCTAACCTCACTTTATCATACATCAGCAGATGCATGACAAATAGATCCAAGGAGGTGATACTTCCCCTCTATGTGGCATTGGTCAGACCACAGTTGGAGTACTGCATCCAGTTTTGGGTGCCGTACTTCAAGAAGGATGTTGATAGACTCAGCATCAGGAAACCTGACTTTGACAAGCTCAGGAAGCTTGTCAGTGAGGCCCTAAAGGGCTGCAACCCAAAGGGGAGGGGAGTTCAGGATGAGTGGTTGCTTCTCAAAGGAGCGATCCTGGACACTCAAGCAAAGTTGATTCCGTCTCGGAGGAAAGGCAGCAAAAGAGCACAGCTGCCCCCTTGGCTCTCCAGGGAATTAGTGGACCTCCTGCATCTAAAAAGAAAGACCTACAAAGGATGGAGGACTGGATCCACCTCCAAGGAGGAATACTCTGCACTGGTCAGACCTGCAGAGAGCGAACCAGGAAAGCCAAGGCTGCGATGGCACTCCAACTAGCTACAAGTATCAAGGACAATAAAAAGTCCTTTCTTAGATATGAGGGGAGCCAGAGGAAAAGCAAAGGCAACACTGGACCCCTGCTAAACCTGATGGGACAACTGACAACCAACACCCAGGAAAAAGCCAACTTGCTAAATGGATACTTTGCATCGGTCTTTCACCAGTCCCATGGGACGTCCCTGCCCATTACGGGACAGGGAGTCCTGGGTGAGGGAGATTCCTTACCCTCCATCAATGCTGACCTCGTGAAGGAACACCTTGAGAGGCTGGTTCAAGTCAGCCAGCCCTGACAGTTTACACCCCAGGGTACTCAAGGAGCTGGCAAGCATCATAGCTCAGCCCCTGGCACAGATCTTCGAGAGCTCCTGGCTCTCTGGTGAAGGGCCCGAAGATTGGAAGAAGGCCAATGTGGTGCCTATCTTCAAGAAAGGGAGGAAAGTGGATCCAGCAAACTATAGGTCCATCAGCCTGACCTCTATCCCAGGGAAGGTCTTAGAAAAGATTATCAAAGAGGCCATTCTTAACAGACTGGTCGATGGCAACATCCTGAGGGAAAGCCAGCATGGGTTTGTTGCGGGTAGGTCTTGCTTGACCAATCTTATTTCCTTTTACGACCAGGTGACCTATCACCTGGACAAG